TAGGGAGTGGTGGTAATTACAACAAGATGGAGATGATAGTTGATAGAGCAGCAGGGCAGTGGAATTGCAGCTGCACGCATTGTCCTGCATGAGCGGGCATGAAGAAACTACTAATACATGCAGGCTCCTCAGAAGAGGAGAAGCCAATGAGATACTCAGAGGAACAGTTCTTTAGAGTGATCTTCTGCATCGTTCCTGACTCGATAGCTTTTGAGTTCAGTTCTCTGACCCTATTGGAATTTCTGAGGCAAACCCAGTATTCATTAATTTATTCATTTTCTACTTAAATCAGCCAGAGTCAAATTTTGTTGTCCGCCAGTAAAAACCCTGACTTGTATATAATCTCATTTCAGCATTAGGCAAACTTTTTAAGAAATGGAGCTCGTAGATACATCATCAGAGGTTGTAGTAACTATAGGAAACTTAACAGTGCTTCTCAAAGGTATTGTATAAATACTGGGCACCAACACTCTTTCTTAATTGATTCTTATCTGACTTTAACTGTATTTGTTCTTACTCTCAGCTGGAACCAGAGTTCAGTAAAGGCAGAGAATGGACTGGCTTTGTAATTTCTTCTGAATCAGCTCTGTACATTCGTCATCATTTCGGAGCACATTCTATAAGCAGGATGATGTCGTCACCACAAGATGACAGCGCCTCCCTCTCAGACTCACACGTGTGTGATCAAAGCAAAGGATTGAGCTTGCCTCTGACAGGCTAAGTTAAGAAACCTGAGACGGGAGCAGGAGGACTGCTCAATAAAGAGAACTTACTCGTTTGGCTGAGGAGCCTGGCTCCATTTCAGGCCGTAGAGCTAAGTCTTCCGTGATTCCAACAGGGAAGAATGGGGAAACTCCTGGGAGTGTCTTTGGTGATGCTATGGCTTCGAGTGGCCAGTGAGTCGGGGCTCTTGGTGACGGGAACAGGGAGACCAGAGGTCAGAGCCCACAGGAACAAAAGGTAAAGTCTTTTTATTAATTTGAAAACGCAGTGACTGACTCCTGGTCTCTGGCTTGTCTTTCTGCCTAGGGGTGAACAGCCAACAAGGAGAAGAGAATCTTCAGGCTCTGAGCATCCAGGAGGGTGAAAATGCCACCATAAACTGCAGTTACACATCCAATATAAACAATTTACAGTGGTATAGACAGGATGCAGGTAGAGGCCCTACCCTGTTAATATTAATACGTGCGAATAAACGAGAGGAACGTCATGGAAGACTAACAGCCACTCTCAACCCCTCCATCAAAAGCAGTTCCCTGATCATCACAGCTTCCTGTGCTGCAGACACGGCTACTTACTTCTGTGCCACAGATGCACAGTGTTCACCAGGCACCTGCGGCCCCTACACAAACCCTGCCAGAGCTGCTGCTTAGAAGCCCTAACAGTGGGTAGAATTGGTGGTTATATATATCTTCCCATGAAGAAGAACCTACAAACAATTGACAACATGAAAGGAAAACCCTTTCAAATTCATGATGTTTTTTTAAGCATTTGGATTTGGGCTAAGGGCATGAAATTTGGAATCAGAATCAGAAATGCCAGGTGCAGTTCTGCCAATCCTGCCTATTTGTCATGAGGCACATCACCAGTGTGGCAGCCTTTGATTTCCTTGCTTGAAATGAAGGATCTGGATCAATGAGCCCAAAAGATCCTGCAAGCTTTGAAGAGGAGAAAACATGATCACTGGACACTCACAGAAGATGAGGAAGGCTGCTCAGTATTAGAAGGTGTCACCTGTTCTATGTGCAGCCTCCCCAAGACCTAGGTAGGTCTTTGAGATACTCAAGATGATTCTTACATTTCTCTGACTTCTGAATAAGAAAGAATGGACTTATCATTCATTAGAAATAGAAGGAATCTCAGGACTCTTTCAACCAAATTTGTCATTTTAAGGATGAAGAGTGAAACCATTGAGAAACCATAAGAGAGACAAAGCTCTGAATCTTTGGAGTAATGGTGACAAAAAATCTGAATCTAGTTCTGCCATTTACTAGTTGAATGATTTCCAATCCTTGATTTCTCCATTAGCAAAATGGAAGCTTATAGCAAAGTCATATTTTTTTCCCCATCCAAAGGAGAGATGTATGTTCTCCATCACCAGGTTCTGAAATACTGTGTTTTGAAAGCAGGCACTTCTATTATCATTGCAATGCATAGAAGTTTTCCTTCCATTTTTTTTTCTCCTACCAAGATAAATAAATGCTGGCTAGAGTTTCCTTGACACAGTTTTTATACTACTGAAAATGATTTTGTGGAGAAAATTGGGGCATTTGTATTTATGTACATGCTTTGGTGCAAAAGGTGGGAGAGGGCAAGGAAAGGTTGTATAGGACAGTGGTTCCCAAATACCAGACCTTGACCCACCAGTGTCCCCTGGATCAGAACCACCTAGAGCACCTTTGAAGATCTGTATTATAGGCTCAGTTCCAGCATACTCAGTCAGTCTCTAATGAAGGGATGAATTAATATTTTTAATGAACATCATCTATATCAGTTAGAGATTGGCACAGCTTCACATTACATAAAATCCAAACAATAGTGTTTTTAGCAAGGTGGAGTTTATTTTTTCTCACATAAAGAAGCTCTGTAATGTACAGAGCTGGCACGATAGCTTTATCATGTTATGAAGGATCCAGCATCTTTCCAGCCTACTGCTTCTCATCTTTAAGTTGGCACTCTTGTTTTCATACATCCAAGAGACTGCTAGAGATTCATCCATGTCATACACCTTTCAGGCAGAAGGGAGAAAGTCAAAGGGCAAATGGGTGTATGCTTGCTGAGCTAATCTTTTCCAGAAGCCCCGAAAGCTTCTACTTGCATTCACTTATCAAGAGCGTTATTGGCTGTCCCCTCCTGCCATCTGTAATGGAGGCTGGGATATCAGGATTTTTTTTTATCTGAGCATATTTCCACCTGCATCAAAATTGGGGTTCTAGTAGTAAAAAATAGGAGAGAATGGACATTGTATAGGCAACTAGCAATCTCTGTCATACCCCCAGTTTAGGGCATATTAGGATTCATACGATATTTTTGGTTCATAGTTATTCATTTTTGAATACCATATCCAATCTATTAACCAGTTCTGTTGAATTTACCACCTACTAAGTCTTCTAGAAGACATCATAACTCCGCAACCTAATTCACCTTCACACCCTGATTAAAAGTCCACCCCAGTCCTTTGCTGCCCTGCCCCCAGCACACTTGACAGACCTCATCATTCTTCAGTGTAGTCATTTGTATAGAGTGAGAGTGACCTTGTCACAGGGCAAATTTGACCATGTCGGTCACCTGGGTCTTCATTTATTCTTAGGATAGAGAAGAACTTCCTCATGTGATTTACAAAACCCTGCATAATTTAGACTCTCACTACTGCTCTAGTCTCATTCCACAATATGCTCTTAGTTTTTCTTCTTCAATACATGTCCTATTTAAATTTCTTGATAGCACCTTTTTCCTCCTATATAACCCTTTCAAAGCAATTTTAGGAGATTTTCTTATTCTTTTCCTTAAAATTCTTTTCCCTCAAAAGAGTAAAAACTAGTAAATGACTACTCATTTCTGTGTATCTACTCAAAAGTGGTTAATAAGCCCATACTAACTCTTTAGTTTCTTTTTTGAGACAGAATCTCCCTTTGTTGTCTAGCTCAGGCTAGAGTGCAGTGGCATTAGCCTAGCTCAGTGCAACCTGAAACTCCTGGGCTCAACCTCAGCCTCCAGAGTAGCTCGGACTATAGATGCTCACCACCACACCTGGCTAATTTTTTCTATTTTTTTTTAGTAGAGACAGGGTCTTCTCTTGCTCAGGCTGGTCTCGAACTCCTGACTTCAAGCAATCCTCCACCTCAGCCTCCCAGAGTGCTAGGATTACAGGTGTGAGCCATCGTACCCAGCCCTCTTTAGTTTCAATGAAAGATCATCACTTACACTAATATTTTAATTTTATTGATTTTATATTTTGTTTGCTTTTTTTGTCTGATTTGGTAATTGTATTAAACCTATGAGCCTAAAAATTGATACCTAATTTTATTGATGTATATATAAAGGTACCACAATATTTAAAAAAAACAAACAGTATGAGCGTGGCTCCTCATATGAAGATCTGCCACTTACTCAATTTTGGGAAACATTGAATGCACCTGTTTTCAGGTCCTGGCTCTGCCTCTGGAAGAAGCTGGTCACACTAGGGGCCTAACTCACATCCTCTCACACAGACTGTCCCTCATCAAAACACAATTTTATACACCAGACATATCCATTCATCCATTTATTCACCCGTTCTTCAGATACTTTTCAAGCATCTCGTATGAGCTGAGGGCTTATATTTCTTGGAAAATGAGCTACTGATACTAACAGGATTAAGGTCCTGATCTCAGGAGCACCAACTGCAGCTTGATAAACAGGACAGAAATGATTCTAATACGATGTGGTAAGGACAGTGATAGTTGTGTATAGAAAATATGTGGAGTGGGGAGGGTGGCCACCGACTCAGCCTGAAGAAAGAGTGAGTGCTTTCGCAAGGAGGTGGTGTGTACTTTGGTTCTTAAAGAATGAATAGGAGTTATTGAGGCAAAAGGGAGGGGAGAGAAGGGAGGGCATTCTAAGAAGAGGCACTCACCTCTTCATTCCAGGGGACCCGTGGGGAATATGCCAAGAAGAGATCTCACAATGTGCTTTTTTAAATACTCTCAGGAAACCCTAAAATGCCTAAACTAACTTACCTGTTGGTGTAACAGACATTTGATGCTGGGACTGGGGAGATTTAAGGGCTTCATATTGCCCTGTACCTTAAAGGGGTGACAGAAGAATTACCCATTGTCCCAGCACCACGTTCCACTGTGAAGTCTGCAGAGTGTTTGGTGCTAACTTTCTGGACTCCCACTCTTAACTTCAGACACCACTTCCCTTCCACGTCTGCAGCGTAAGCTCCATGTCTGCAGCTTAAGCTCCACTCCAGAATGTAAATATCATTCCCAGATGCAGAGCAGGCTGCAGGAGCAGAGAGGGGCCACAAGAGGGCACTGCTCCCTTCAGGTGGTGGCTCCACACAAATTCATCTTCCCTTTCTGAGCACATCTCAGCCTGTGGCATGATCTTGTAGAGCAGTTTGTCCTGCTTAACACACGATTTGGATCAAGAAACTAGAGAAACAGCCCTCTCAGCTTTGGTGTATCCCTGAACAAGACCTTCCACTGCTTCTCAGCCGGCCATGCTGTGGGCTTCCTGCTCAGGACTTGTGATCTTATTGATATTCAGTGAGTAATACTCAAACGTCTATGATGTCCTGTTGCTTGGTTTTAGGTTGACCTTTAACCTCTTCCAAACTGGGACTATGATCTTACATTGCCAATTTAACAAAGCCTTTACTATTTTTAGGAGGGACCGATGGAGACTCGGTGACCCAGACGGAAGGCCCAGTTACCCTGCCTGAGGGGGAAGCTCTGACCTTGAACTGCACTTACCAGAGCAACTATGCAGCCTTCCTTTTCTGGTATGTTCAGTTTCAAAATAAAGAGCCTGAGCTGCTCCTGAAAAGCTCATCGGAAACCCAGGAGACGGACGGCAGAGGTTTCCAGGCCAATAATAACAAGAGTGACAGCTCCTTCCACCTGAAGAAACCCTCAGTGCAGCTGTCAGACTCGGCTGTGTACTTCTGCGCCATGAGAGGCACGGTGAGAGGGGCTGAGGGGGGAGCCCTCCACAAACCCTGCGGGCGCAGGTGGGGCCTGGGTGTGCCCGGCCTTCAGGAGGGGGCGTTATTTCCTCTTTCCGTGGTGTCCTATGCTGGGGGCTTCTTCCAACTACTTCCAGCTCTGATCCTTCAGAGCCAAGGAAAAGTGGAGTTCTTGGATTACTCTCCAGAGAGGAATTGGAGGGGATACGGTATAAAAAGAAACCTAAATTCTGTTTTCTAGAAATGCCTCTGGTTTTGGCCCAGATGTCTCTTTTTTCCCCCCGGATGGCATACAGTCCTGAAAAGGGACATTAACTCTGCTACATGACAGTTCAGTTGCTCTTCACTGAAACATTTCATAACCCATTAATAAAAATTCTGAGGAAAAAATAGTTCCTGGACTAAAGTGTCACCTTGAATTTCATTCCTTGTGTTTACAATTCAGAGGAGGGTTGTATGTCTTGCTGAGTTTCACCTGTAGAATCTCCATTTCCAGAGACTGCTGTATTTACTCTCTCTTTGCTTGACTTCTGTTTCTCTTGTGTTTGCCTCAAAATGCTGCTGCATAAATAAGTTCTATGAGGAGACAGCCTTGATGAGAGATTTTCCTTCTGTCACAGGCCCTGTGCTTTCAGAAGAGCCCAGTTAGTAAAGGCTGTGCCGATCATGTGTCTTGCTCACACTGTGTTAAAATACCTCGGCACCTATTTATTGTAACATCAAATAATGATCCAGTTTCTGGACTTTAGGATCTGGGCTATAAGAAATCCTGGATTCTAGACATGGCTATAATTGTGGAACCTAACATATTATTTTTATCATTTCATTTATGCCCATGATCCTTCTGAAGTGTGCCAAATTCAGCAGCCAAGGAAGAACTCAGGTGACTATCTACAAGAGGAGGATGCACATAGACTCTAGTTCCCTGGGACCCCAGATAGATAAAATAATTTCATGCTTCTCTACACCAAAGGAGCACAAAACAGAAATGTTAGCCCCTCACTGAAACCATCAGAGGGTGGAGCTCACCAAGATAAACTTTTATTAATATTCTAAAGGTCTGTGAGCCTTATGCCTTGTTTGTCTTTTATCCATTTTGCATGCTTCTGTGGATTGCACAGGTGCAGAGGCAAGTTTTGCAGGACCTGAAGCTTCTTTAATTTCTGGAGCTCTCTTTAAGAAAACAAAATCACAAATACAAGTTTCTGGGTCCTGAGGTAGGAAAAGGCCCTGAGATCAAAGCTAATTTGCTTCATGGTAAATCTGCATCTGGAGTCCCATAGAGATCATCTTCTTCTTTAAGATAGAAATATTATAATAGTCTTAGTTTGTCCTGATGCTGACAGGTTCCCTAAGCCCTAGTCCTCTTCACACTGCAGCACTTGAGTCACTTTAGTTATCATTAATGCAGCTTTATTGATATAATTCACATACTATAAACTTCATCCTTTTTAAATGTTGTAAGTAAATGGTTTTTAGTATATTTATAGTGTCAATCATGACTACTATATAATTCGAAAATATTTTCACCACCTTGCAAAGAAACTCTGTATGTATCATCCATCACTCCCATTCTCTTCTTCCCCCAGCTACTAACAATCACTAATCTACTTTCTACCTCTACGGATTTGTATATTCTGGACATCTTATATAAAGGGAATCATATAATTTAGGGCCTTTTATATCTGGCTTCTTTCACATAGCATAATGCTTTAGAGGTACATCTATGATATAGCATTTATCAGTACTTCACTACCTTTTGTGGCCACATAATAATCCATTGTGTGAATATATCACTAATTTCTTTATCCATTCATCAGTTGATGGACATTTGAGTTGCTTCCATTTTTCAGCTTTTATAAGTAAAGCTGCTGTGAATATTCATATACACATACTCTGTTATTTTAAACTCTATTATATTTTGAGTTAGGAGTTTCTATTTTTGTTTGTTTTATTTGGTACCAACATTACTTTATAGATATACAATGAATAACCATATAAGAAAATGCCCTTTTAAAATAATAAATTATACCAAAATGAGACTTAATGTCTGATACATGACCAGTATTCTTAATAATTACATGATAGAGCCATCTAAAAACTTGTCTTCTTTTTTCAATAATACAATTGTATTCTTAGATTTCATGGTTGTTATGTTTACATTTGAAGAAAAACCTAATGCAATATTACAAGCTGTGGTTTATGCAAATGACAGTCATAACAGTCGTTTGCAATATCTACATATTGAAGCCAAAAAACTCAGTCATCATCTTCTGTGTTCTTGAACCATAAATTTGCTTAGATGCATTCTGACTGAATAGTCTGGCTGTAGAAGCTTCGGTGACTGGCTGTTATCAGGAGACATAGGAGTATTCACCATGGAAATAGGGACTATGTATTTTCCAAATACAAAGAATACTTTGCATGGCAAATGTGTCTGCTCATTGAGAATATAGGACACAGCATTTTCTGTTCTGCTATAACGTATATCTCTTTTTAAAATTTTGTTGTTATACAATTAATAAATAAATAAATGATGTCAATATGATGTGGAAGTTGCATTGATTTTCTGAATTTTTCCCAAGCCTGTTAAAAATTGTATCACACTAAAGAACTCTCAGGGGCAAGTTTTTCACTATGTACCGTGGGTTTGGCAATGACCAAAGACATGACCAATGAAATAATGAATTGATAAGTTAGATTTCATTAAAATTAAAAATGTCATATATCATGGAGTACTACTCAGCCATAAAAAGATGGTGAACTAATACCTCTTGTACTAATCTGGATGGAACTGGAGACCATTTTTCTAAGTGAAGTATCATAAGAATGGAAAAACAAAGACCACATGTGCTCACCATTAGATTGGAATTAATCGACACTTATGTGCACATATGGGAATAACATTCTTCAGAAATCATGCAGGTTGGGGAGGGAGGAAGGGATGGGTAAATTCACACCTAATGGGTACAGTGCATGCTATCTGGGTGATGGGCACACTTTGACTCAAGTGGTACAAAATTTATGTAACCAAAATGTTTGTACCCCTATAATATCCTGAAATAAATTTTAAAAACATCATAAAACCACTTTATACCCCACAAATATATACAACCATAATTTGTTGAGAATATATGGAATCAACTTAGCTCATTGTCATTCTCCTATTCATAACCTGAGTCAGGTCCTATACTTTAACATATTTTAAATATATCTTTCATTAATTTAGAAGTGCAAAAAAGTATAAATAACTATATAATGCACACTGATACACCCTTCACCCAGCTTAAGAAATAAAGCAATACCAACATAGTTGAAGCCTCAAGGGAGCCTTTGTGATCTCACTGTCCCCTAGACGTTAATCACTGCTCTGAATTTGGCATTTATTATTCTAATGAATTTCTTTGTAGTTTTGCTGCCCACGTTACCCACATGTGTATCTTTAACATATGTAAGAGGCATGCTTTTACCTTTATATGGCATTACACCACATGTTTTATGCACTTTGTCTTTTGTGATACTCTGTTATATTTGTGATATTCTTCTTGATCTATTCTTACCACAGAATAATATATAGCAGTGAAAAAAAGAAATATAAATGTGTTGTAAAAAAATTACAACACATTTCATCTTCTTCATCTTCAGAGACATTTCATCTTCTCTGTAAAACATACTGTCAAAAGAATAAAAAGATAAGCCACAGACTGGTAGAAAATAATTGGGAAAAGACATAACTTAAAAAAGACACTATTATCCAAAATATATAAAGAACATGTAAAACTCAATGATAAGAAGAGAAACAACCTAATTAAAAATGATCCAAAGACCATGACAGATAATTTACCAAAGATGATATACTGATAGCAAATAGCATATGAAAAGATACTCTGCATAATATGGCAACAAGAAAGTACAAATTAAACAATGAGATACCAATACAGCACCTATTAGAATAGTTAAATTCCAGACCACCGACAAAAGCACGTGCTGGCAAGGATGTGGAGCAACAGGAACTCTCATTCATTTCTGGTGGGATGTAAAATGTTACAGCCACTTAGAGAGACAGTTTGGCAGCTTCTTACAAAACTAAACATACTCTTACCATTCAATCCAGCAACTGGGGTTCTTGGTATTTACCCAAAGTAGTTGAAAACTTATGTCCACACAAAAACCTACATAGGGATATTTATACCAGCTTTGTTTGTAATTGCCAGAACTTGAAAGCAACTAAGATGCCTATAGGTAGGTGAATGGAAAAATAAACTGTGGTGCAAGACAATGGAATATATTCAGTACTAAAAATAATTGAGCTATGAGGGAAATCTTTGAAGGAGAGTGGAGAAAAAAATGTGTGAGATAGTTAGAAACTCTGGAGCACTTCCTGGGTAAAGAAAAAAAGGGGTGGGAGTTTAAAGAAGTGTTGCTATAGTTAAGAGTCTGACCTTTGTCAATGTTCCTTAAGAAACATAAATAAATTTTAAACTATGTTTTAAAAATCAGCTGGGCAGGGTGGCTCACCCCTGCACTCCCACCATTTTGGGAAGCTGAGGCAGAAGGATCAATCAAGCCCAGGAATTTGAAGTTACAGTGAGCAATGATTGTGCTACTCTATTCCAGCCTGGGCAACAGAGCAAGACCCTGTCTCAAAACAAAACAAAACAAACAAACAAACAAATGAGCTATGAAGCCATGAAAAGACTTGAAGAAACTTTAAATGAATATTACTAAGTGAAAGAAATCAATCTGAAAAAACTCTATACTGCATGATTCCAATCCTACGACATTCTAGAAAAGGCATACTATGGAGACAGAAAAAGGCTCAGGGGTTGCCAGGGGTTAGGGAGCAGTAAGGGATGCATAGGCAGAGCATAGAAGAGTTTTAGGGCAGAGAAACTAATCTGTGTGAAGCTATAAAGGTGGGTACATGTTATTACACATTTGTCTAAACCAATAGAATGTACAACACCAAGAGTAAACCCTAATGACTCAGAGTGATAATGATGTGTCAATGTAGGTTCATCAACTATAACAAATATATCACTCTGGTGCAAGACGTTGATAATGGGGAGGGTATGTCTGTGTGGGGGCAGGGACTATATGGGAAACTTCTGAATCTTCTGCTCAATTGCTCAATTTTGTTGTGAACCTAAAATTGTTCTAAAAAATATAGTCTATAGAAAAAAAGATTGTGATGATATCACTACATCTATAGTGTTAAAGATACTGATTTATGAAGAACGATAACAAAAAATTTTGATAAACTCGGTCTTATTGTAAATACATGACCTCTCATTGACCTATATGTAAAGGAGTAAAACCCAAGTCCCAATATCTTAAGGCTACAAAGAATTTACTGATTGTGATGTAAGGAATAAATGCTAATGTAGTTGAACTCTGCTAGTATTTTTGTTAGGATTTCTATTATTTTTTATAATGCTCTGGTTATAAGTTGTATATTTTGGGGGGTTCCCTTATCCTGATTTCCACTATAATTAATATATGTAATTTGGAAAACCAGAAGGATTTTCAGGAATGCACATATTAAGTTATAGCAGAAATTCCTCTATTGGGGCACTGAGTAGAAGTTTGGGAATTTATTTTTGTTTACTCACAAACACATATAAGATGTGTGTGCAAATATACATATATGTATTTTTCCCTGTTGATATTTGACATGGCACACACTGGACAGATTTTGTGACTCTGGAAGTACAATATGAAATCATTCATTAACAATAAAATATTTCTCATGTAACTTTTGCTGGATTCCACAACTGGCAAGGTAGGGACAAAGATTGAGACTAAAAGTTTTGCCTTTCTGTTAGAGAGTCAAAGCTCTGATTACTTTTCATCTTAATTCTGTCAAGAGAACAGGAAGCATATGTAAAAGGTGCATAACTGTGTTAACCCATGTATTGACTATAGCTCATAATAAATTGTAAGTTCCATATTTTTCATCCAAGATGAACTAACTGAACATGATTTGATTTTACTGCTGTTTATTTCAAGTCCAGTAGATTATAATGAGACAAAAATAGGTGCTTAGGATAGCCTAGCATCTCCCACCTACACAGGAAGCATATGACAAGACACAGTCAAACTTGTCCTATATCTGCTAGCTGTATTTCCTGTATGGGGCAGAAGCACCACACAGCCCAGTAACTTTGCTTGTACCTCTTGACTGCAGGCTGCAAAATTAAGATCTGGACTGGAAACAGAACACAGAGTACTTAACTCAGGATAAAAGCTGCCAATATGCTGCTCACCAGTTTGCTGAGGGCAGTCATAGCCTCTGTCTGTCTTGGTAAGGATGGCCACAAGCACAGGACTCAGGTTCTTGTCAGCGCTGACTGATGTGGGGAGAGGCAGAACACTGTAGTCTAATGATGCTCAGAAAGGAGGGATAATGGGCAATACAATGGGAGCATGGGTCCTAAGCCAATTTATCCCTTATATCCCCAGGGTTACAAAAAAGGGATTGATCGGTCTATTTCTTTCCTCTTTCTTACAGGACCCAGCATGGCCCAGAAGGTAACTCAAGCTCAGCCTGAAATTTCTGTGGTGGAGAAGGAGAGTGTGACCTTGGACTGTGTGTATGAAACCCGTCATATGACTTATTACTTATTCTGGTACAAACAACCACCAAGTGGAGAAATGATTTTCCTTATTCATCATGACTCCTTTAATGAGAAAAATGAAACAAAAGATCGGTATTTTCTGAATTTCCAGAAATCCATCAATTCCATCAGCCTCACCATCACAGCCTCAGAGCTCACAGACTCTGCTGCGTATTTCTGTGCTCTGAGAGAAGCCACAGTGAGACTGGTGCCTGCCGGAGCCCTACAAAAACCTCAACAAGAGATAGGGCCCCTGGGGAGAGACTCCATCACAGACAGGAAGAAGCAGGGGCTGTGTCAGCACACATGGGGATTTGGATAGGAAATCTTAGTTCATTTCATACACAATGTTTAGATATGCCATTTATTAGAAGTATATATATATATATATATATATATATATATATATACCTTCTTTAAGATACATTGCGATAGAATGTATAGCACATATTTTATATCACATCTAGAAATTATAAAGTACAATAACAAAATACATTAATCTCATGTTAGTTTTATTGAAATGGGAAAACTATTGAATTATCTTCAGACCAAAGGAGTGATTCCACTGATGAGCTGTCAAATTTTTATGATCATTCATACAGTTATGCATTCATTATTATGTAGAATGCTTTAGTCCACTTGTAATATAAATGCTTTTCATTGATTTTTCTCAAAATAGCATCATTATTCAATGAGGTAGAATAAATTATTTAATTTAGACTTCCTTCCATAATCATACTAACAGCCTATTATACAGCAGAATAGATGTGAAATGTCCCTCAAATTTCCTCTGTTGGGCTTTTCTCTTTTTGTGATGTGATCATGATTTTTTTAAAACATCTAAATATTTTACTCTCTGTTAGAGGCTGTCTACGGAGGGAGATGGTTAAGGTGAAAATTTGTCCTGACCTATCAAGTCTCTTGCCTTTATCTTTTATCCTCCGAGTTCTGGCCAGTTTGAAGCTGAGAAATGTTCAGGGTCAGAATGACAGCTTCCATGACAACCAATATCTAATGGTCCTGTCCTATGTCTACTTCCTGTCTAAACAATTTTTTTTTTCTCAGATGCTACAACAGGTGCTCAGGAGCAAGGATTTTTATTTCTTTTGCTTCACATAACCCTGAGTTAATTATCACCATTTAAAAATCAGGCATCATACTAAAAACTATTATAGATTTCTAGCTTACCTATAAAAATGTGAAGATCTAGGAACACTAGACTTTCTGGGGTAGAGGTCAAAAATTCTGTTTGAACACATAATGACTTTGATGTATATTCATTTTATTTATAAAATATATTCACATTTACCATTCATTTCACAGTATGAATTAATTTAATAGTAAAATTTTAAATTGTTAGTTATAAGATATAAACTAATCCTCAAGACAAATAAATATGAATTAACATTTCATGAAATTATACATGTTTTCCTTCCATGATTTCATGTATCACAATGTGTATCCTAGTTTGAAAGACTTAAGTATAATTTATTCATTAATTTAAAACATATTTAGTATCTATAGTAAGTATTGAGGAAATATTAGTTAACAAAACAGATATAATTTCTGCCTTTATGGAGGTCATATTCCAGTGGACTGTAGTACTATCCAGTATAGAACACTAAACTGAAATTTTACACAAACAAGCTCTGTGACCTTTAAGGAAATAGTAACTCTTCTGACCCTCGCTTAAGGTTCTCTGTTTTCTCATTTGTAAAATGTAGAGGTTTAGTTAGCAGTTAATGAATAGTTCTTTCCAAAATTTTACTTGTGTCACAAGAACACTTATTCCACTGCCTTTTTGAGTTCCTAATACTTATTAGCTACCCCTCTCTATTTGGTAAAGGTCAATCTGTTGTTAGAGAAATTTGCATGGTGCTCCACACATTGCATGATAATGTAGAAGTAGTAACAAGAAGCCAAAGGGAGCAGGCAGAGGGGAGAGTGACTTGTGAAGTCATTTAATTTCAATACATGGAAGGCATAAGCTAGGCATAAGAGGGAGAAGGAAAGAAAGAGACAGAAAAGGAAGGAAGAGGAGGAAGAAGAGGGAGAGAGAAGGAGAGAGGAAGGATGAAGAAGAGAGGAAGGGAGAAGGAAAAAGGGCAAGAACAGGTACTAATTCATAAGTAAAATATTTTTATTTGAATTTGATGTTATGGTTTCTTTGACAAGGCATTAGATAACACTGTCTTTCTGTAGCTTGGGAGAATCAGGAAAGGTAGAAGATGCCAATTTGACAAGCATGAGGACATACTGAACTTTGACTACCTGGCTGGACCTCCAGAGGACACAGCTCCTCTTGTAAAGTTCTAAGGCAGGATGAGAGACAGATTTTCTAGTCATAGGAATGCCACATGTCCCTTGTAAAATGAAGATAATTCACCTGTCCCTAGAGGAAGAAAGACCATTGTAACTGGGTGAGGGTCTTTCAATATCAAAGTGCTGTCTAGATCTGGGTAGCAAATGCAAATGCTCACAGGTGCTTAGAACACGATAAAATTAGTGTAGTTGCTGAAGTGTTTAAAGGAGATGCAGGCATGATGATGTGTCAACTAGCACTGGGCCTTGGCATCAGAGGATAAAAGAAAGTGATGTGGTAAACCCAATTCTTCTCCAAAGTGGCAGAGGTAGCCTGAAAAATTACCCAAGGATTGCCCCTGAGTTCCATCCAAGACAGGATGCAAGCTTATTAAATGTGGAGAAACTAATGCACAGGAGCTATAGTATAGGCAGCCTCCTGGCGAGGAACTAGGGACACAAAGCCATCACAGTCTGAAGGACAGCTGAGGCCTGTCCCAGAACAGCAGAGGCTTATTTCAGCTCCTGTGAGTAAGGTGACTGACAACGACCACCAGTTATTCCCTGAAATTAGTCAACCTCATATCCCCTGTCTCAGAGCCTCTGATCTTGCACACTATATCTTAACTGCAGACTCAATTCAAATAAAGCATATAATACACACATGTGCGCGTACACACACACCCCGGCTGGGCAAACTAATGAGCTGTCCAGGGTCCTGAATTACTCAGCGTACACAACTTCTATTCTGGACCTATAATTTTCTTTTTAAATGAAGAATGAAAGTAGATATTAGGTACATATTATGTGTGATACAAAGAAGCTCTGAACTTTACCTCGTATCCCTCTTCATATTATTATGTATAGCAATGGCCTCACCCCTAGTAAAACCTGTCTACCACCCACTTCTTTGCTGTGCTTACCCTCCTGTCCATCTTCTTCCAGACAATGAGATACAGGTCCAATTGCAAGGTGCTCTCCCTCACCACACATAAGAGCTTTAGAAATCTTTCCACCTGATTGCACAGCTGAAGTTTTCTTTGGAAAAGAGGAAAATTTCCCATCAGAGTCATATATCCTTGGGAGTGGCCAGTACAATGCGAAGTGTATACTCTCCCCTGATGTAAAATGAAATCTCTAATGCTTCATGCCATCATTATTCTATAATCTCTAGTCTCCCTCAGCATTTCCAAACAGAGAGAAACAAAATTACCTGGACTTGAAATAGTAACTCAATCCAATGGGCTTCCCACAGACGTTAAAAACATCCTCATTTTCTATTTACTACATTACAAAAGACACTGCCCTCTAGATCCAATCACCAATTTATAGTAAGTACAAAGGGCAGAAGAACATATTAAACCTACCACAGTATACAATAAGCAAAATCCATAACATGGAAAAACTCTACAGGACAAACTTAATTTTTTTAACAATAAATTACAAAGGATGAAATGGAGTTAGGGAATCTACAGATTAAAAGAAACTTAAAAAATATCACAAAAAGTCAAATATCACAATATTTGACTTTTTGGTAGATTCTGAATCAACTAATTGAAAATTTGAATATATTGGATATTTGATTGTATTAAAGAATTGCCAATAATTTTTAGGTGTAATGTGCTATTGTAGTTGTATTTTTAAAAGTTAAAATTTAGAAATATACACTAAAATAATCAAAAACAAAATAATATGCTATGGGTAAATATAGTTGGAACATAAATGAAACAAGATTGATCAAGAATCAATAATTGATGAAACTTGGTGACGGGTACATGGAGCTTCACTGTTCCCTACTGTATACTTTCATATACATTTGAAATTATCCTTAATAAAACTAAAAGTAGAAATTGGCTAGATTCAAATCCTGTCATCTCCATTGCTGGATGAATTTTGACATATTCTTTAAGCTAGTGAAGCCTCAGTTCCCTTATCTATAAAATGGTGATAATACAATTACCTTATGAAATTGAGATGAAAATTAAACAAAATTATACACATATATACATAAACTCATATGTAAATTAAATGATACATAATTTTATAGACACATAGTTTTAGCACTGGTACACAGCATGGCATTCTGACATAGTAGAGAGTCAGTTCATGATAGCCATTATTACAATAAAAGGTAGAATTTGTTCAGAGCCAGATTTTCAGTCATGAACGATTTCTATAATATCATGCTGCTCCTCGACATGTTTGTCATTGGCATGTTTGTCAATATCTTTAAATAAGATTCCTGAAATCCTTATTAAAATAAATAAACAGGAGACAGCTAAAGACCAGATAAATGCCTCTGCAATGTAGAAGGCCTGGCTTATAACATTAAACATCTAAAACCTGGCTTTCTAAAAGAAAAATACTTACTTAAATTAGAACAATGATGTTTAAAAAAGAAAGAAAAGAAAAAAGTTGACATTTCAAGGACCACATTACCAAAGTATGGTTACCTGTCTCTCATAAGGCTAAGGGTATAAGGTTGCTGTCATCCAAGTATGGTCCAGGGAACCCTAGGGAGCCCTTTCAAGGAGTCTGGCACACCAAAACTATTTTTATAACAGTAAGACATTATTTGCCTCTTCCACTTTCATAGTCTCACAGTTGTATGTGCAAGGTTTCCAGAGTCCACACGGTGTGAGATAATGTCATCACTCTGATGATTAATGTAATATATCTCTACCTCTATCTTTATTCCACATAAAACCTCTTTGGAGTCTTCTTGGAATCTCTTTCTAAGAATTTAAAGGGATCCCCAGACCAAAAAATTTGAGAGCTCATGCTTTACAGAATATATATTCAATTTATCACTGTCTGACTTTGAATAATATTTCACCACTTCACATGTAGTGTAATAAACTTACAACATTTATCCTCCATCCTGTGTGCTATTGTTGTTATAGATTTCTGTTTTACATGAGTTAAAAACCCTACAATGCAGTTTTATAGTTTTTCCTTTAAACAATTATTTTTAAAGTTTTTTAGCACTTTAGAGTTGAGCTCTGACCTGCATTGTTTGTG